TGAAAATAACATAGTAGGGAAATCTAGAGCTCTGTCCCTCTACAGAAACAACTAATGAACTGGCAAAAACTGTCAACTTTGCAGAGCTCTAAAATCTAGTAAAAAATCTTATAACATCCAGGGAAAGGCTTTTGAAGAATGAAGCTGTAACTGTGGGGTAAAGGAGTGTTATGACATTTTAATTGTCTGCCTACTCTTCTCCATATCCAAATCAACAGTAACTGTAATGAGAGAATCCCACACTTCTGGTGCAGGTTGCTAATGCCAGAGGGAGCAAAGTATTATGTTCAAAGAATTGTATTTATGGGTCTCCATCTGTCTGGCTGCTCCCTGAAGGACCAGCTTGGTGGCCTGCCTTCGTTTCCTTTAACTGAGTGTTTTCCCATGGCTGGGGCTGCTTTTGCCAATTTGAAGGCACAACTATTGGCTGTAGCAGCCTAGAGCAAATTGAGACAAATAGCAGGGAGAGTTAGAAGCCTGAGAGGGAAGAAGTTAGAAAAGGAGATAGATGGGAAAATAAGGACTTTTATAAAGCTTTTGCATATACCAGGAAGTTGAGAAGGCCATGCCATGCTCAGAGCTAAACACATGGTTAGAAAAGTCCTAAGAAGACCCTAAGCTTTCTCCTTTGGTTGGTATGCTGTGATCAAACAGGATGTGAAGACTAAGGCAGAATTGTAAATGGCCTGGCAAAACAGTGCCTTTACACTGTATCAGTCTTCAAAGACTGGGAGTGTTCCTCCCCCATTTGTTTGCTACAGATCTTAAAGAAAATTGTCAGTCTACTAGTTGGATACTAAGTTAAAAGAAAGATTTCAGTGGCCACAAATGACAAAGAATATAGACTTTGCAAAAAGTTTAGCAAAGTCACTATTAATAACATCAATAAACCACACAAAGCACTATCGACAAATCTTTGGGGATGGGGTGGAGAATCTGATTTCTAGAGTTTTCACATAACATTCAACATGTCTAGTATTCAGTAAGAACTAATTAAGCATGGAGAGACAGTATGGCTCATTCATAAGACAAAAGAAATTATTAGAAACTGTGTCTGAGGAAAGCCCAGACATACCAAATAAAGTATTTAAACCAGTATATGCAGACATGCTTATGAAAACTAGAGTGCTGCCTCACCAAATAGGTAATAACAATAAAAAGATAAAAATTATGAAAAGGAACCAAAGACGGATTCTGGAGTTGAATGGTACAGTAATTCAAATGGAAAAATCACCAAAGTGGTTCACCAGTATATTTGAGCAGGCATAAGGAGTGGTCAGCCAACTCGATAAATCAAGTGAGTTTATGCAGTATAAGGAGCAGAAAGAGATGAAAAATGAAGAAAATTAACTGAGCCTAAGAGGATACCGTGAGATGTACCACATATGCATCGTGGGAATCCTGGATGGAGAAGAGAGAGAAAGGGACAGAAAGAATATCTGAAGAAATAATGGTTGAAAACTTCCCAAATCTGATGAAAGATATGAATCTACACGTCTAAGCAGCTCAGTGAAGATCAAGCAGGATAAACTTAAAATTCCACACTGAGACATTAAAGTTTTTAAAAGACTAAGATAAAAAATGAATATTGTGGGGCTGGGGATGTGGCTCAAGCCTTAGCGCGCTCGCCTGGCATGCCTGCGGCCCAGGTTCGATCCTCAGCACCACATACAAACAAAGATATTGTGTCCGCCAAGAACTAAAAAATAAATATTAAAAAAATTTCTCTCTCTTTTTTTTTTTTAAATTAATATTGTGAATGGTAAGAGAGATACCCATCAATGCAGGGGATCCTTAGTAAAGTTGACATCTGATTTCTCTTTGGAAACCATGGAAATCAGAAGGTAAATATAATGGCATATAGGAAAAAACTAAGTCAAGAATTCTGTTTTGCAAAACTATGTTTGAAAAGTGAGAAATCTTGATAACTAAAGCCAAGGGATATTGTTGCTAATAGACCTGCCCTATAGTAAATGTTAAACAGTCTTTCATGTTGAAATGACAATAACTTGAAGCCATATGGAAAATAAAGAACACTGGCAAAGGTAACTACATAAGTAAAATATAAAAGCCAGTATTATTATACGTTTGGTTTATAACTCCTCTTTTTTCCCTGTATGATTTCTAAAAAAGACATAAAACAATAATTATTGATCTGGTAAGTGGCATACTGTATGAAGATGTGATTTGTGACTAGCAATTTAAAGAGGGAAGGAGGGAGGGAGAGATGTATATGTATAGACTTTTTAAATACCATTGAAGCTAAGTTGGTATTTATTCAAACTAGATTGTTCTGAGTTTAAATATTAATTGCAATATCCAAGGTAATCACTAAGGGGAAAAAACAGAAAAGGAAAAGAAGGAATAAAAATGGCACATACTCACAGTGCAATCAAACATGAGAGAGGACAGTAATGGAGGAAATGAGGAACAAAAAAGTATGAAAATAAATAGGAAAATGCCAGAAGTTTGTCCTTATCAGTAATTATTTTAAATGTAAATAGATCAAAACTCACTTTAAATAGTTTCAAATAGTTTTATATAAAGCAGCATTTGGCAGAATGTGTGATCCAGCAATGTGTTTTCTGTAAGAAACTCAGTTTATAGCAAAAAGATACAAAAATTGAAAGTGAAAGTATTGAAAAAGATATTCCATATAAGTAGTATTGAGGAAAAAGCTGGGATGAGTTGATTAATATCAGACAAAACAGACTTTAAGGCAAAAATATTTACAAGATAATGAAGGACTTTATAGATAAAATGGACAACATATCATGAAGATATAATAGTTGTATAAATATATGTGTACTGAATACCAGGTCTCCTAAGTATATGAAGAAAACATTGATAGAATTGGAGGAAAGTTATCATCATAGGACATTTCTATATCCTGCTCTCATTCATGGTTAAGACAACTAGACAAAAGTAAGGAAATAAAAGATTTGAACAATAAGCTAATTAGGTCTGATAGACATGTATAGAATGCTCAACAACAGAATACATTTTTCTCAACGTACATGGGATGTTCTCCAGCATAGACCATATATCAGATTACAAAACAAGTTTTTTTTTTTTTTGGGGGGGGGGTGGGTGGCTACTGGGATTTGAGCCCAGGAGTGCATAATCACTGAGCCCCAATCCCAGCCCTTTTTATATTTTAATTTGAGACAGAGCTTTGCTAAGTTGCTGAGACTTGCTTTGAACTTGTGAGCCTCCTACCTCAGCCTCCTGAGCCACTGGGATTACAAGTGTATGCCACAACACCCGACCAAAACGATACTTAATTGAAATCACACAAAGTATCTTCTAACTACAATAGAGTGAAATTAGATTATAGCTATAATGAAGGGTAGTGAGTGATATGGAATTCAAAGCTGAAAAGGCTTTAGGGAGGATGGAGGGAGAACTGGCTGGAAATATGGAAATAATGCTCCTACATTAACCCAGGCTTGATAGTATGAGGGTTACTATGCCATTGGTGTTCTCAGAGTGAGCCAAGGTCTCTATTCAAGCATCAAGGTAGAGGGAACATTTAGAGGAGAGGTCAGAATATAGGGTGTTTTGCTGAGTGTAATCATGAATTTCAGAGGATTCCATGGAAGTATTTTAAGAATGTGGAAAAGTGAAATAGGACAGAATTGGGATTGTGTGGAATAATATAGGGATCAGAGTATGGGAGTTGATATTTGACCTCTGAGTCTGTGATTTCTTGTGGTAATTTGTTTATTAAACAAGGATAAAGAGAATAGTTAAAGTGGTACTTGTGCTTTCAAGTCAGGTAGTAGAGGCGAAGTTGTCAGTAAGTTTTTGTGAGTTTGTTTTGATATCCTGACCACCATTTGTTTTTATTAAAAAATGTTTGTGGGCTGGGGATGTGGCTCAAGTGGTAGCGCGCTCGCCTGGCATGCGTGCAGCCCGGGTTTGATCCTCAGCACCACATACAAAGATGTTGTGTCTACTGAAAACTAAAAAAATAAATATTAAAATTCATTCTCATTCTCTCATATTCTCTCTCTCTCTCTCTCTCTCTCTCTCTCTCTCTCTCCTCTCTCTCTAAAAAAAATAAAATGTTTGATACTAAATAATCATTTTGAAACCAGGACACTATTGTTAAATCAAAGATTATCTTATCTGTCTTAAAAAATAAAGTGTAACAATGCCTTCTTTAAATGGAGTGTATTAGTTTGGTTATTTTCATATTTTATATTCACAGTACCCATCACAACTATGGAAGGAGTCTTAGCTACAGAGGTTTTCTGTTCATTATTGAGTAGCATAATAGGATAGTGTGTTGTTACTCTTTGCTTTTCATTTACATTTTATTTACAGTATTGCCTATTATTCTCACTAGACTTTTTTATTCCTCTGACCCTAGCAGTTTAAAAATTATCTTAAAAAATGGGCACCATTCCAAGATCCTTGTGTTTCTCTGTAGGGGCCTCACGGCTGGTCTGGAATTGACTTTGCCATTCTGTATCTTATCCATCTGTAATTTGTGTAGATACTTGTTTTAAAGGGGAAGTCAGTGGGAAAGCAGATACACTTAATATATAACCCAAGAAATAAAAGTGTAAGGGGAAATTGCAAGTCAAATACCGATGTACTTCCAAGTTTGTTGGCCTTATCTATCTGCATGTCTACTGAGAGAACTACTTGAAAAAGCAATTTATGAAAACGTACATGTTAACAGAAATGCAGACAAAATATTATGCAGTATAAAAATCTCACTTGTTAGATTTTATTTAAATATTAGCATGCATTGTAAAAGGTGTCTATTTTTGAAACTGTTTTCCTTTTGTTCATCAGATGTTGGAATGTGAAAAGGGATGCTGACAAAATAATCTTTGTCCTAAATTCAGTGTTTGGTATGCTAAGGAAGAGCAATGAAGTATATTCTTGAATTATTCAATCTAATTGTTTTTATTATTGGTTAATAAAAAATCTGATTTTAATTGTTGTGCTTTATATACTGAGTAGAAACTTTTCTTTTGTTTTTCAAGGAACCAAATGGGGAGACTCCATCATCTTTATACAGAGTTGCAGCAGTACTTCTGCAATTTAATCTTATTGATTTAGATGATCTTTATGTACATGTAAGTCAAGTGGGCTGCTAATAATATTTGGTTGTCCATCCCAGGGGTGGGGAAGAGGAGTAGGCAGCCATGTAGCACTTCCAAGTTTGGTTCTAGGATTGCAAGTTGTCTTTTTTTTGAATCCCTAATACATTCTTGCTTTGCATGTACTGTATAAAGTGGCACATTTAATTATTTGACCAACAATGGAAATTATATGGTCTATAAAAATCAAGGTTGGATATGAAGTTTCAGTTCTTTAAATCATCATCAAGTTGTATATCATGGTGAAAAAGGCAAAGTTCTGACCCAATGTGATTTTAGTTTTTTCTACTAGATACAGATTATGGGAAATGTGAAATTATCTAGGTACTTCTTTCTTCTATCTGCAGTGCTTTAATCTTAGGCATTCAAGACAAATGAGGAACTCCATTAGTGTATTTTTCTTTTTAGTATTTTTAAAAATACTCTTCTTATGATTTTACTGTGTAATAAGTGACTACTATTGTGCTTTTATTGCTGGATCCAAGATTTAGAAGAGTCTGTGATTGTGATAGAATACCTCTAGTTTAGACAAAGCCAGGTTTTGCAGTGTAAAAATTGTTTTATTAGGTTTTGCATTAGGATATCTATGGACTTAAATTAGTCCAAAGCTAACATCATTTTTCCTGACTTTGAAGTATCTCTATAAACTTCCTTTCCCATTTTTGTATACTGTGGCTATGATATGTTGTGAAAGTTGGTTTCTACCTTGGAAGCAGTCATAGTCTAGCAAGGAAGATAAAAAAATTTGCATTGTGTATTAAGTACTCTATTGGAGATATTCACAAAATGCTGTGGGATCACTTTGTGTGTTGCAGGGTGGTGTTGGAAGACTCTTCCAAACTAGTGACGTTGAACTAAAATCTTGATAGATGAGTAGGAGTTGTTCAGGTTTAAAAGGTAACAAGCTCTATAGGTAGAATTAACTGAGTATAAAGGCAAGTGATCCTTTAGGAAGCTTAGAGAGAGTGGTTGGAGCCTAAGTGTGTTATGTACAAGGATTGAGGATAGAGAACTATAGGAAGGGCCTAAACTATAAGAAGGGCTTTTAGTGCACCGAGCCAGGAGTTTGGATTTTTCTCTTGGATGGACACAATACCTTTATTTAAAATTATTTAGAATTTAAAGAGAAATGATTTACAAACCGAGAATGAAAAATTGGCCAGAAAAGAGAGAATTTGAGGATATATAGTAGTCTGGTATAACAAATGGAAGATTTAAAATGATGATTTAGTACTGATTTGTTTAACAATAAATTCAAGCAGACCAAGTGTTTCTGTTAAGATGGCAAAGGTTGTCAGAATGGGATCTAAAAACCAGTTTATTGTTTATGTGAGACACAGGCAAAACCCAATGATAAAAAGGTATTGAAAGTAAAAGAGTGAGAAAAATAAATCAAAGAAATTATTATTGTTAGAAAAAAGAGACTTTCTGGTTAAAAAAAGATAAAAAGATCACTTCATAATAATAAAATTGTGTTCACTAGGAAGACAAAATAGTTCTAACTTTATATTATACTCAAAAACATGTTCTCAAAATAGAAAACTAGTAATTGAGATAACTATAAGAAGCATATAGTTTGCCCCTTAGAGGCAGTTGCTGTAGTCCAGATAAGAGAGAAGAATATAGGCCAGGCATATAAGTGAAGCAATAAGGATGTGTTTGCCACACAGAATGAGAGAAAGTCTTTGCTTTCCTCTTTCCACCATTCCATAATGACTTTTCTCTCTCCCTCTCTTTTTTCAAATAACAGGATGGAGTCTACAATATTTAATATTTCACCTTTTATTGTTTACTTTGCATTAGTCTTAGTTATTAAATTAGATCATATATTCCTGGGGGRTAGTAGTACTTCTCTTGTAGTTCATCATAGGTACCTGCCAGAAACTATTAAGTAATAATTTGTTGATTGTATTTTTCTTTATTGGAGTTATTATATTTAATGTTTACATTACTGTCTTCTACTCATACAATGTGGCTGTACTTCAGATCACCTGAACCTTTTTCATAATGGAGATTTGATCTACACAATTTCTCTTTGCAAAAATTTACAAACTAGTTTGTGACTTAGGTCAAAAAAATTCTTAGAAAATGAAAACTGGGGATATAGCTCAATGGTATAGCACTTGCCTAGTGTGTGTGAGACCCTAAGTTTAAAAGGTCTAATCATTAATTTTTGTACTTGATAATTTTCATTTAAAGATTCAACAGTAGCTCACTTCTCCCAAATTTGATCTATATACAGTACTTAACTTGGAGTTTGATTTTTAAAAAAGAAAATGTTATATATGTGTGTGTGTGTGTGTGTGTATACACACACATATTTTAATATTTGGACACAATACTTCATTTATTTTTATTTGGTGCTGGGGATCAAACCCAGTGCCTTGCAAGTGCTAGGCAAGTGCTCTACCACTGAGCCACAACCCCAGCCCCAAATGTTATATTTTTAATGGAGAAGATCCTTATTTTTTGGGGGGTAAACTAATAAATTTAATGGTAAGAATCACTGTTGTAGTAGTAATTTAGGACCTTTACCAGATAGAAGGTGTGGAACTTTGAAATGCTGCCTGATTTTAAAGTATAAAATTCATGTAGCTAAAAGGTACACTTTGCTTGCATTTATTGTTAAACTCAAGAATTGAGTGAAACTTAGATAGGAAATCACAGTCACAAATAAGTAGACTACTTATTTACATTTTTATCAAATTTATCAAAAAATTTACATATTTATTTTGAGACTAGATATTGCTTTTTATGTGAGCAAATAGTTGTTATTAGCTGTTTTATGAAATTCTAATGAACCATTTTTAGCTTCTTCCAGCTGATAATTGCATTATGGATGAACACAAACGAGAAATTGTGGAAGCTAAGCAAATCGTTAGAAAACTTACGATGGTTGTGTTGTCTTCTGAAAAAATTGATGAGCGAGAGAAAGAAAAGGAAAAAGAAGAGGACAAAGTAGATAAGGTATATAATTTTTAAAAAAAACTTTTTTTAGTTGTAGATGGACATAATACCTTTATTTTATTTATTTATTTTATGTGGTGCTGAGGATCGAACCCAGTTCCTCACACATGCTAGGCAAGTGCTCTACTGCTTGAGCCACAACTGCAGCCCCAGAATATGATTTTATTCTAGTAAAAAAGACTAGCATTATTCATTTAGAATTATAAAATTTAACTTATAATAGTTAATCAAGTTAATGTAAGCATGATTTCTTAATTTTGGTCATTCTAAAACTTGATTTTGGAGACAATTATTTTGTAGAAATGTTTTTTTTTTAAGTCAGAGGAAAATAAAAGGGAGAGGGAATTTCAAGATAGAGGAAAGATGAGTAGATGTGAAGGGGATTAAGGTGGAGGAAGGAGGGATGGGAAAAGGGAAGAACTGTGGAATGAATCTGTCCAAACTTTTGTATTCATGTACATGAATATATCACAGTGAATCCCAACATCAAGTATACCCACAAGACATACATTGAAAAAAAAATACTATATATTGCAGAAAGAACAGTAGAGGGAGGGGATGAGGGAGAGGGAAGATGGGGGAGGGGGAAGTACTTGGGACTGAATTAGGCTAATTTGTATTCCATGCTTTTGTGATTATGTCAAAATGTATACTTAAATTATATATAACTGAAAAGAATCAATCAAAACAAAAAATCTGAATGGCATCTTCCCAAAAGAGGATGCCCTTTTAAAAATTTCAAAATGTATTTCATGTAAAATCACAAATTGTAATGCTTATATATTAATGCCTCTCAGATCGTAAAGGGATTCTCAAAGATAAATGAATTCTAGCTCCCTGTGGCACAATATAACATTACATAGAACTAAATTTTAAGTTTATAAACTGTAATGCCTGTGTTTGCTAAATAGAAAAGCAGATCCTGGTTTTCTTCCCTGCCCCCTTCTTTTTTTTTTCCCTGACAATGGAGAGGGAGCCCAGGGGGACTCTACCACTGAGCTACATCCCCATCACTTTTTATTTTTAATTTTGAAACAGTGTCTCAGTTGTTGACCTTGAATTTACGATCCTCCTGCTTAGTCTTCTGAGTTGCTGGGATTACAGGCTTGCGCCCCCATACCTGGCTCAATGTCTATATTCTAAGCATCTTTGTTGTGCCTATTCATTTTTAGCCACCTGACAACCAAAAACTTGGTTTGTTGGAAGCCTTATTAAAGATTGGCGATTGGCAGCATGCACAGAACATTATGGATCAGATGCCTCCGTACTATGCAGCTTCACATAAACTAATAGCCCTTGCTATTTGCAAGCTAATCCATATCACTATTGAGCCTCTTTACAGAAGGTATGTAACTAACCATTCAGGTAGAAATAGTTTAGGACTACCAAAAATATCCGTGTATTTATATTGTCTTCTCAAACCAAGCATATATTTTAGTACATTTTCTCAATAGATATGAACTATTCAGAGTGATGAGTCTGATATATGTTAATGAGTTACTTCTAACATCTAGTTCAGGGGTTCTAGAATGTGTGCTGCAATGCAGTATGAAAAGTATAGGTTAAACTTGTGGGTTGGGTTTGCTCTGTAGAGTGAAAACTTCATTATCCATTAACTTTTCTTCTTTTCTTGAGAGGCAGAGAATTTCTGAAGTTTTACGTAGCGGAATATGTATTTGTCCTGGGTTGAATGGCTCTGAGTGAGGACTTTGCCACTCCGCTTGCTTTATCTCCAATCCTGGCATATAGGCTGTTATTTGGGAAATTACTAGTCTAGCCACTCTCATCATCCCTAGTTACTGTGCCACAGTCCTCTAGTCTTTAGCCTACTTGCAGGGTACTTAGCAGTATTAGTAGCAGTGCTGGCTTTAACCCCGTAGATCAGAGCCTTCCTCAAAAGTTTCAACATTGAGACTGATGCGTAGCTACTGGCTGCTGCCTTCAGTGCCACCTGGGCCATGGACCGTGAAGGTTTTTCCTTATAGAGTGACCCTCTGTGACGCCATAGTGGTACATTTACTCAGAAGATGAGAACTCTGGGCATGCTGTCCTTTTTATTATGATATTCTCTTATTATGCAGCTAACCTTCTGTACCACATCCTCCTTCTTACTCAGTCCTAGGTAGTGGGGCCTAGTTTGGGGTATGTTTTATTGATATGAATTAGTATTGTTATATCTATATTCTTTTTTGGTTTCATTTTTTAGTATATCTGAGGTGTTCCTCCTTTGTTCTCCATTCTCATATCCAAATTCTTTATACTGGCCAGGTTTAATTTAAAACAGTTTCATTTGATGTAAGTTAAATATTACTTGATCTGTCTTTCTCTGATTTCTGTTTTTAAGGTGTTAATTTGAGCCATTCTCCTCTGAACTCTAATTTTATTCTTAATATTATTTTTGTTTTTCTACAGTTAAGAATCATTTGGTATAATAAAGTTAGGCATGATTAAAATACAGAAAGAAAATGTGAGCAAGGAAAGATTCACTTACTTAGATGATCATTTTAACTTAAAATGGCAGATATTGTGTGTATATATTTATAATTTTTCTCTTCTTTTTAAAGAGTTGGCGTTCCTAAAGGTGCTAAAGGCTCACCTGTTAATGCTTTGCAAAACAAGAAAGCACCAAAGCAGGCAGAAACTTTTGAAGATTTGAGGAGAGACGTATTCAATATGTTCTGTTACCTCGGTCCCCACCTTTCTCACGATCCCATTTTATTTGCAAAAGTGGTGCGCATAGGCAAGTCATTTATGAAGGAGGTTAGTAAGATTTTTTTCTTCCTGGTAGAAAACTAAATGTTGGAATGAAAATGTTTGGAATATATTTGTATTTTATGAACATTTCTAGGAACAAAAATAAAGTAAACCTAATTTAAGAAAAGGTTATTGAGGTTTGTGGTAAGTCCTTTGTGTCCTAACCATAGACATGTATCTGTGTAAAAAATCTAGCTAAATTATTATTCAAACCTCCTTCCTCTCTCTGTGCCTCCAAATGGCTTTTGACAAATGGTCGCCTTTTGAATCCCCTTGTAATGATTACTTTGTATTCTTTTCCCTTGTCTTCTACTCTTTTTCTTGACTAGAGTTTTGAATCATTACTGTTATTTTTATGAAGCCCTTTCAATATCAGACTGTTGAGGACACATTGTTTTATTTATTTATTCTTTTTACTTATTTTTTTCATGTTGGAGATTGAGCTCATGGCTTCACACATGCTAAGCATGCATTGTACTGCTGAGCTATGCTCTTGGCCCCTTCATTTTTTTAAAAAACTTTTTTATTAAAATAAAACATATACAAAAAAACACATAATAACTAAATAGCTCAGTGACTTTTCCCAAACTCTCACACACGTGTCTAACACCCAAGCCAAGAAATAGAATAGTACCAGCAACTCAAAGTCTCCTTTGTATGCCCTTTAAGTCACCACCCCAGGCATGACTTTATGCTGTTTTTTTTTTTTTTTTAACTTTTAAAATCCACTTTGAGGTAAAATTTACATATAGTTAGTTTCTTCAATCTTAATTTATAGATCAAAGAGTTTTGTCAAATGTATAGTTGTATGTTTATCACCACCATCAACCAGAATAATCTGTGAAATATTTTCATTATCCAGAAAGTTTCCTCTTACTTCCTTTATTTTCATTATCCTTCAGTTTCCTCTTTACATTGCTGGTTCGTGGCAACCTCTGATAGGCTTCCTGCCCACTATATTTTTGCTTTTCCTAGAACTTCATATGAATGAAGTTGTATGTGATTTCTTCCACTTAATACTTTTGAAATTCATCCAAGGTGTTACATATGACATTAGTTCCTTTTGCTGAATAATACTTCATTATATAGACATACCAGAGTTTATCCATACACCATTTGATGGGATTTTAGGTTGTTGCTAGTTGGGGGCTTTTATAAATAAAGCTGCTTTGAATCTTGTACAAGTATTTTGGGAGGTACTTATTTTTGTGTCACCAGGGGTGGGATTGCTGGGTCACGTCAGTAAGTTTATGTTTAACTTTATAAGAAATTGCCAAACTGTTCAAACTGTTTCAAAGTGTCTATACCATTTTGCATACATGGAAGCAATTGTCTGAGACTTCCTTACCACTACTTGGTATTGTCACTCTCTTAAATTTCAGTCATTCTAGTGAGTATGTTGTGGTATCTCATTGTTGCTTCTAATCTTCATCTCATGACTAGTGATGTTGAGCATCATTTCATGAGTGTACTTGTCATTTGTAATCATCTTTAGCAAAGTGTATGTTACTTTCCCGTTTTTAAATTGTGTTGTCCTTTTATTTCTGAGTTCTAAGAGTTCTTTGTATATTGTGGTATGCGTATAAGGTCTTTATCAGATATGTGATTTTGAACTTTTTTTTTTCAGTCTGGTTTCCCTTTTTATCTTGTTGTCTTTTGAAAAGGAAAAAAAATAATTTTGGTTAATTCCAATTTAAAAGTATTTTTCTTTTATAGTTTATGTTTTATACCTTAAGAAAACTTTGCCCAACTCAAGGACTTGAAGCTAAAAAAAAAAAATTCTTTCTTTTCAGTTGTAAAACAAAACATCCAAAAGAAGATCTAGAAATTGTTATAGGCACAAATATAGATTTCTCTATTGTTTGGTAATTGTATCTGATTTCAATTTTGGATAACAGGAACGGTGTATAGAAAGATTAACAGCTGTGATATATTAATCCATTGACACCTGAAATATTTGACTTGGCTGTTAACTTTTTTGTTATTGTTTGTGGAGACTTGCTATGAACTCACTATCCTCTGCTTCAGCCTTCCCTGAGTAGCTGGGAGTAGAGGTGTGGGCCACTAGGCCCAACTTGACTTGGCTTTTAAATTTTGGCTAGTAGATTTTTTTAATGCTCACAAATTTACAGTGTGAAAAGGTATTGTAAAGAAATCTGTTAAGTAGTTAAATATAATCACACATCATTTACTGTGTAATACAGTCATATGAAAAGGAAGTATGACAATTTTTCACCATCTTGATCCTTATAGTCTGAAAAAGGATGAGTGATTTTAAATTAGTATGTGCTTCAAAAACAAGAGTTAGATCTTTCTCAGTGCATCATATCAGGAAGCATGTGAAGTCAATTTGTTTCTGTACTGGTGTTAACTTTGAAGATCTTTGCAGCCAGGTTTCTCTATTATGCACTTATTGTTTTTCCCTTTGTTGTTAATATATTTCTTGTGAGATAATACTTTGAGACTATAAATAGCCGGTTTCTCATTATACTATCACCTTACTAATGCTGTTCTTTTTAATTGAAAATCTTTTTTTAACCTTTTATTATTCATTTTTATGTGGTGTTGAGGATTGAGCCCAGTGCCTCACACATGGCTAGGCAAGTCCTCTACCACTGAGCTACTCAACCTCATACCCTTAGTTGAAAATCTTAATGTTCATATCTCTTGTTCTGAAATTCTTTGACTATAAGCGTCATAAACTTAAAAGCAGGAAGCCTAAATCCAACTTGTGGAAATCCTATACATAAATATAAACATGTACACTATTGATATGAAGATATACAAATTGTTAGAGCTGTCATACTTGCCTTCCCCCCTTTACCTTTGCTGTGCTCCTCTTTTTCTCCATACTGTCCCATTTGTGCCTGTTTCCTTACCTCATTCCATTCTATTCTGTTCTTGGTAGAAAGGAGGAGAAAAATATATCTATTTTGACCACCAGGGCTAGTGTAAGAAGAAATCCTTCTTTTGTCATTACCAGGGTTGTGGTAGGAAAAGTGAATCTTTCCAATGATCTGAGTGACAATGTTGGTTCATTTTGCACAAAAATGTATTTCACTATGACCAACACATAAAATTGCTTCTAAAGGGTGAATGTTGCCTTACTTTCAAATTATTCATTCGTAGTTAAACTTCTTTAACAAGTCTCATTTATAGCTTGGGGTTGCTTATGAATAAGTTTTAAAAGTGGCTTTTACCAGTTATTACTTAACAATAGTAATTTGCAATCATCCATTTCTCTGATTAGGTACATATATCTTTCTTAATTTTGAAGTATATAATATAGGACTTTCTAGTATAGTGTTTCGCTCACATTCATCAGAATCTGAGGTGGGACCTGAAAATTTTTATTTCTAGCAAGTACCTTGGTGATGTTTATGATGGAGTCCAAAGATCAAATTGTTCTGCTATGTTAACCAGTTTTGGTCTCTTTCAGATTTAAAGGTGGTGGTGGTGATTTTATAGACTTATTACAAGGGACACATTTTGCAACCATTAACATTTTCTTTCTTTGTAGACCACAGCTTTGACATGCCCATCTGACATATTCAAATGTTTTTCATAGCACTTTTTAAAGTATATTTTTAAGGGCAGTTTTAGGTGCAAAATTGAAGGTACAGAGGTTTCTCATGTACCCTGTTTTCTCACATATTTATAGCCTCCTTGTTATCAGTGTCCCTCACTGTTACAAGTGATGAAACTACACCGACACATCATTATCACTCAAAGTCAAGTCCGTAGTTCAGTTGTACATTCTGGGGATTTAAACAAATGTATAATGACATTTATCCACTGTTATAGTATCTTAAAGAGTATTTTCACTGCCTTAAAGACTTTTTGTACTTTGCCTATCCATCCCTCCCTTTTGACTTCTAAGCCCTGTAAGACATTGCCCTTTTTGCTATCTTTGCAGTTTTGCCATTTCCAGAATGTCATATACTGGCAGCCTTTTGTCTGTGGGTTTGCATCTGATAATTCAACCAAGATATAAAATATTTGAAAAGTAAAAGTAAGGTCCCTTCACCTTCTGAATGTAGCCCTCATTGCTGTAAGGTTTATTTATAAAAAATGTTTTTTTCCTCTCTTCTCCCCTCTCTCCCTCCCTAACAAGATTAGGGAGACAGTGTTATCTTTGATTCCCCTAGTTAACTTCCCTTGAACACACCCACTACAGGAAGGAGGATCCTGCTGAGGATCTGGGAAGTGAATATCTCCCAAAGTAACAAGTGAATACTAGCACACCATCAGTGGTCCCTGGGACCTCCTACTGGAATGTAACCCTTGAAAATATTTTTAAACCCCCCCTGTCCTTCCTGATCAGCAGAGTCACAGCCTTTGGGACCAGAGTCCCCTGTGTTTCTCCTTTGCTAGCAAAGCAATAAACCTTCTTTTTCCTTTTCCTCAAAACCTTGTTCTCATTATTAAATTGGCAGTGGGGACAGGGATTTAGCTTTTGGTTACAAATTTTGGCACCCCACCTGGGACTTCCTTAATAAGACTCCTATAGTGCAAGAGTTAAAATCAAGAATCAATAAATGGGATGGAGTCAAACTAAAAAGTTTCTTCTCAGCAAAAGAAACAATAAGTGAGGTGAATAGAGAGCCTGCAGTTTGGGACCAAATTTTTACCACATGCACATTAGATAGAGCACTAATCTCTAGAATATATAAAGAACTAAAAAATCTTAACACCAAAAAAATAAACAACCTAGTCAGTAAATGGACCAAGGACCTGAACAGACCTTCTCAGAAGAAGATATACAATCAATCAACAAATATATGAAATAATGTTCAACATCTCTAGCAATTAGAGAAATGCAAA